CTGCTTCTCCTCGTCATCTTTCGTCTTCTCCTCCCGGTGCTCCTCCTCATTCTCCTCGTCCTCCCCTCCCTTTGCTGCTGCTATGACTCCTCCTCCTCCTCCTCCTCATCCGCCTCCACCCCCTCCCCCCTCCTACTTCCTCCCGCGGGCCGCGGGTCTAGCCGACCGAGCTCTTGGTCGGGAGCCGGCGCACTCCCCCCCTCGCCCCCTGAACGGGGCGCTTCTCACAAGACCGGCGCGCGAACGGCGGCCGTTTGTAGCATAGGGTGGCGGTGCGCCGCCCAGGGCCTGGGCCAGAAGCTCGAAGGCGACGGCGACGGCGGTGGGGTCGGCCGCGAGCTCGCCGCCCTCTGGCGCCCCGCGCAGCACTGCCCCTTCTATTCCCTGAGTAAAGTATCTGCGACTGAGGCGTCTGCGCGACGAGAAGAAGGGGCGCTTGCAAGCACTTCCGGATGTGCATGACGGTCTTCAAGTTCACTCCATATTGTAGTTTTGGCCACATCGACCCAAGCATCTGCTTTATCAGTGGTAAGTCCCAAAAGTTGTTGTACATGCTTACGAATACTATCAACCCATCGTGTCTTTGGCTTCGCTTGCTTGCGAACGATTGCGGGTAACCAAGCGGCGCTTCGGGATCCCAGCATCGAGATTTGCACGTCCACTTGTGACGCTCCGTTGCCGTCTGCGTCGCCCATCTCCACTTCCTCCGGCGTTGGGTAAAACAATCATCAATCTTCAGCCGTCCAAACAAGAATTGCATTTCACACGTGGTCCGCTTGATGCAATTGACCCACGGCTCCACGTAGCCCGAGCCAGTTCCGAGACTTTCACCCAACGTCTCCATTTCGCATGAACCCTAGTCGCTGGTAGAGCTGATCGGTCGGCTTGCTCACCCGTGGTGTCCCGTGCCGCTGCTTCTCGTCGCCTTCAATGAGTGCCCGCAACCATACGTGACGTGTATCTTTGCAATTGGCGTAATCAATTTCCTCACTCGCTTGTGAGGACCCAAAATGCACAACCATAGAGCAGTGTCGGCGCCACCGTGCCGCTGGAGAAGGAGACCCGGCCATGTAACGAATATGTTCGTGTAAATAGCCTCCGCCTGAGTGCGCAGAACTTACGCTATCCAACAACAATTCCGTTTCCACTTTGCCGACATGCGGGTCCAGAGGCTACTGTTTCGACCTCAATGTAGCGGTCGGACACGGACTCTGGCTTTGCGCGAAACCGCCGTTGCTTAGATTTTGTAGGAATACTTGTTGTCCCGGTGTAATTCGAACCCAACCTTGGCGGCCTCGTCTGGCACCTCGCGGAAGCATGACCTGCGCCTGCGCCAAGGACCTTCCCCCCCAAAAAAACGTCGTCAACGAATCGTAGATTCGTGAATTGCACGCCAATGGAATCCAGGCGCCACATTTACGTTGCCACAATTTCCTTTGCTCGCTCCTGAATACAACCTGTAACAAAGACTTGATGAGCAGCAAGCTTAACGGGTCTCCTTGGTTACTCCCACGCTGGATTGGAAACGCCCTGTTTTTCTGTCCATCGTAACGGCGGCCGTCTGGTACAAGCGACGCAGAGCTGATACGCATCCGTGTGGAAACCCTTGTTCAACTAAAGCGTTCTATAGTTCGCGGTGTGAAACAATGTCGAACACTTTCTTGAATTCCAACATTGCCACCCACACTGGGATTTGCCATTATTGAGCTTTCTCTTGCACGATTGAAAAAACACCCGAAAAACAATTGACAACTTCTGGCGCTATCTGGCCTGGTCTGGCGGCTGTTGTAGATCAAGGTCCCCTTCGAGTCTGTTGTGCAAGTGCCTATTGAATCGCCTGTCTAGGAAAGGAATAACGGTGATAAGGCGGTAGTTCTGCGGCTGCGATGCGTCCCCTGTGCACGATCGTGATGTTCGCTTGACGCAATTGTTCTGGCGGCTCCGAATCTCCAAGTCTTTCTTTGTGACGTACAATTTGTCCACATCGACTCTCAAGCCGTCCATTTCGACCTCGAAGTCGTCTAACTTATCCTGCATTTTATCGACAGAAAGCATTGCAGCTGCTACCTCATTCTTGGAGACCTGGATCATATCTTCCATAGTGTCCAATCGGGAGATCAAACGCCGCTCGAACATGTGAGACGTTTTCTGGGGCTGAATTGCTTGAACCTTGACTGTCAATATGTGTTGCGCCCGATGCTTCATCCATGAATGCATGATTTGGTTTTGCCGTTCGCTTCTGTGGAGCCAACCTGGCTTTGGTTCCCGAACTCATACCTAGTTCCACTCCAGCCCAACCCAGCGCCACGAGCGTGCAAGAGAACGTATCGGTAAAAGAAGCGAGGTATATTATACATTGTACTCCTCAAGCCTTACACGTCAAACCTTGAACCGCGGTCAACTCGAACCATGGCCTCCCGTGTCGTCACCTGCATGGTCTCCCGCAACGTCTTCCAGGTTACAGCCGCGCGCGCGCCCTCTCGCGCGCTCCCAGGTTCTA